CGTACAACTGAAAATCATAATGGATAGACCTTAATGGAAGCTGTGTTAATAAATAATTTGAATAAGTGAGAATCTCTTTAAAATGAGAGCTAAATAAATGAAAAAAATATATAAGAAAAACGATTCAGAATAAATTAGAAATTGACCGCAGCAAAATCAATTAACTGGAATTGAAATTTATAAGTAGGGAACTTTACAGACATACCACACAATTCTTATGTATTTGCATATCAAACATCACATTTACGCTTATACACGTTTGTGTTAGGCATGGAAAAGTGTATTTCACTTTTTTTAAAAAAAGTGAAGTTGTATTTTTGCTATGATATTAAAGATTCGAGTGTTATGCATGTAGATATGAATGTTTAGGTGACAGATATGTAAATACATAAGAATCGAGTGGTATGCATATAAATGCCCTTAAAGTATAACACAAAAAATGTTGATGATGAAGTATGTCTAGTTCAGCTACTTCATCATTTATACAAAATATAAGGAAAAATTAAGTTTGGACTAAAATGGAGAATTGCCTGATGAATATCGCAGGGCAAGAATATCAACGGAGCTTTCAAAGGTAGATCTTTAAAGCCAGAATAAAACTGTCTATATTATTTGAAAAAAGTTTTGTATGATAGAAATTCATTTATAGAGGATTTCGTCCGCACGGAAAACTTTACATGAGCTACCAAATATTAGCGGGTAGCAAAAATTTACCAAATAATTAATATTTAAAATGGAAATAATAATAAAATTAAAATAGATAAGTGGGTAATGAAAAAAAAGAAATGATTTTCTAAATAGACAGTGAAAGTTTAACCTATTGCTAATAAGGTACTAAAAAATTAAAAAAGTTAAATATTTAGGCATATATAATGAGAGGTAGAACAGGCACAAAGAAGCTAAAAGTGATAAAAAAGAAAAGAAAATTTTGAAGGAAAAAGAAAAAGGAAAAGTAGACTGAAGATAGCATGTCTAGCATTTGTGCAGGAAAAGTGCAAAACTAGAGTCAGCATCATAGGCGAGATTCATAAAACAATCCACAAATCATTGGTGTTATCAACTTCTTTCTTATGCTTTCCTATCACCATCCTCCGCCATAGTCTTTTCAGTAACAAGCCAACCTCTACATCAAACTTCTACATGATTTACTTGGCTAAATATAGCTCATCAATCTTAGTTGTGACCATTGTGACATAATGGTGATTATTTTCTTAAGTATCACATATTAGAGAATCGTCATTCTCATGTGGGAGTCCATCCTATTACCCATTTTTGTTTCATTACTTTTTGTCGATCCAAACTATTAAATTCTCTCTAACACTATTTTATTCTTTGTCGATTCTCAATCATTACTCTCAATGAATGCTCTCTATTGTCCCTCTCCATTAACGCTCTGTAGAATACTCTTCCTCAATAATCTCGATTGATGGATCCATTAAGGAACTTACCCAAGTCTTTGCTAGCACAAATCTTGTTGCTAATTCTTTGCATCCAATTCACAATACCATCACTTTGATTGATTGGACATGATTCCTTACGTCACATACAATCTCACGGAAAAAACTCAAGTCATTACATCTCAAAATTTAAATTTGCATCCTGTATGCCACGCTAGGTTTGCAAGAGAGTGTAACCAACTAGTAGAAATCACTACTAGTTATAATTGTAATCTATCATCATTTTGACGATTTTCACATTTATAGTACTTTACTTGGGGGTACTTACACACCACCCAAATCATATGCATTTACTATCTAACGGCTAAACTTTATTTTTACATTTATACCACCCAAATTGTTCACATCACATCAAAAATACCACCATTTCAACTTTTAAATGTGAAATACACCTATGTAAAGTGACATGTATGCAAAAACTGAAGTTTATGTGCTAAATATGTAAATACATTAAATTTGAGTGGCATGTACTTAAATCTTCCTTTTCTTTAATATGCGCTTCTGTCAACATATAGGCACCTATTTGCTTGAACTAGCACCGCTATCAAGCAATGGTGCAGTCTTTCATCATTCTTTCCACCTTCTAACAATTAGGGTAAGATTGACTCAACAATGATCACCATGGTGATAATAAAGATGACAAAAGTTTTGAATTTAGACTTTAGAGTCACGAGAAAAATATAAATTTTAGATTGCACCAAAAAAGAGAAGTGGCTCCTTAATAAGCTGTTCTTTACAAGAAAAAAATGTCATTCAAATATGACAAAAATTGATAAACTTTACCATGCTAATTGAAACTACTCTATGAGCCCCCTACTTCTACAAGACCATTTAGGCGCACCAATCTACATGTAATTTCGTGCATAATGGCATGAAATTCATGATTTGATCATCCACGAAAACAAAAGAAATAAAAAATTTTCAGGTTGTATTTCATATATACAACCCATACCTCTTGTACGTCGATGGAGAAATGAATCAAAATGACCCTTAACTATTTGAGGGGGTTTCCCTTAATCACAGGCAATATAAAATGTCTAATTTAATCATTGCACTCTTAAAATAATAGTCAAAATAGTCCTTCTGTTAAAAGTAATGAAGATTGAATGTAAAATTAATTTATGGTGTTCAAAATGAGGTGAAATTCAGAAATTTATATATTCAAATTTTTACAAAATATACAAAATGATTTTCTTTTAATGTTTGAGATATTTTGTAGAAAAATTATCAATAATAAGAGATAAAATTTAACATTTTAATATGTATTAAGTTCATCACTGACATCTGAAAATGAAGAGATATTGAAAATGAAATAGACAACCCAAATATTAGAGGAACAAAATCTTTCAATTGTGTATGAATATACCAATACATAAATAAATAAATGAATTCAGATAAATATCTGGTTAGCAAAAACATTGGGTACTCATAGGATTTAGCATCATTTCCTACCTTCCCTCATCAAAGAATGAAGCAGAACATAGGAATGAGGCTAATGGAAACTCCTATAGGTCTAAATGTAGTCATAAGACAAAATAAAGACCCATCCATTGGATAAAAGCTATGGAAAGTACAAATTCTGCCTACAGAACAAAATGCATTCTTCAATCAAAGCATCTAATGAGATCCCGAGATCACATAAATAAAAGATAGTTTAAAAATGAACTCACTAACCATCACATAACTCAACAAATGGGTTACATCTAGGACAAAGAAACTCAGTAAGTTCAATGACAATAACTTTAAGCAATAAAAAATTTGCAAATCAAGTATTGCATGTACCAAATGAGTTACATCTACCTCTCTCTATTCAAAGCTTACAAATATAATCCAAACAATAGTTATACATTTTCACAACTAGAAAACAACACAATTGGCAAGATGAAAGCTTAATTAGCCATATAAAATCCTTCACACTATGAAAATATCACAAGTTAGCACAGCAAGTTCATTCCCCGAGCTTACTATTCATCACTTTCAGAGAGCTCGTAGCATCTGCATTTTTTTAGAGAACAGCAAAAGAAAACATAAAGTAAAGGCAGCACTTATAATTCCAGCAAAAACATTGGATACTCATATGGTTTAGCATCATTTCCTCCCTCCCCTCGTCAACATAAGAATGGGGCTAATGGAAACTCATATATGTCAATTTGTTACACTTTGCCAAGCTATATAATTGTTTGGCAGAATAAAAAGCAAAGGCATCTTTTGTTTTCAACCCACGTATAAGAATCTTTCAAGCAAATATAGCACATTTTAAGAACATGGTCTTTGAACCAAACAATTTTTTTCCAATTCAATTGCGGTTCAAGAGAATAGGATAAATAATAAATATATAAACAAAGCTTTTGCTTTCCAATTCAATGTAATTTTGCTTACTACTTTTAAGGCACTTTGAATTGCTAACCAACTAACCAAGAGTATGATGAGTAACTGAGAGCTTGTCTTTTGTGCAAATAATAAAGTTTCAGTTCACAAATCATTTTAAATGAAGGATTATCTACATTTTTTCATAGCAGGCTAATGTTGTTTCGATCACCAACAAAAAAGAACTAAATGATATTCTCCATAACGATGTTTTTGAGCGTTTTCTAGAAAAAATTTTTCCTGATTTTCTTTTGAAATTCCAAAAAGAATTGTATTCACTTTAACCAATGTAGCAATAACATCATTACCATTTGCAATTCCGAGAATAAGCTTAATCATAAAGCCAAGTGATAAGGTGTGAATGGAACCCAAACGTAAGCCCCAAGATGCCCATGTTTGCAAATGGTATCCCAAGAGATTGCATGCATTTTTTATTATTAATGGCAACATGTAAAAGAAACTAAGAACATCATGAGTGGATCATCTTTCTGCAGCCTTTGGGTAGGAAGAGAGCCCTAACCATCACACAAATAAGTTCCAATTGAAAAAATTAAGAAGTTGATATCTCCTAGCAAAAGACAAGGATATAGTTTTCCAACCATATAACATAATCCCTAATTCTGTCAACCAGGGGTTGGAAAGCGACCAATATTTGTTTGTGTATAGATATTGGAACACCCAGGTAGGTAAAATATGGATTAGAGTCACCATATCCAAGAATGTTACTCATATTTTCAGAGTTATGAACAGTTTTTGCTAAGATAATTAGGCCTTTGAAACAATAATACATCCATGTACATGCAGCTGCCCTATAATACATCCATGTACTTGCACTTCACAAGAATGCATGCCTTAAGCCACCGAAGTGAAACTGATAAAGTTCAAAAAACCTTTGGTATAAGACCTCTTACTGTTTTGAAAAACAAAAGGAAAAAAGCATAGTATTCCTCACAAAATCATCCATAAAAAAACAGATGTAGAGGCAATAGCCGAATCACAGCACACACGCTTAAAACTGTATGAATCACCGCACAAATGCACCATAGCCAAACTAAATTTCACAACAAAACCCTTATAACTGATCTCATCAATAAAAAACTTCAGCAACAAAGTTTCACTCAAAAAATCTGAATAAATCTAAAAGAAATTTATGACAATTTAAGCTAAGAGGCGAACCCGCTGATAAATATTAAATACTAGAGAGAAGATGCTCAAAGATAACACCTCAGTAGCCAAACAGCGACCAAGCATGAATACCGCATAATCGAGCCAGCGCTGACTGTACGAGGAGAAGAAGAATTAGTTATTAGAAGCAAAACACAAAATGGCAAACCCTAAGCTCTCTCGGCCGAAGGCCTTTCACGATTTTGAGAGGAATGAGAAGACTAGGGAGAGGCAGCCGAACCCGAGAACCGTCCAGAAGTTTCGAGAGGGGAAGGGGAGGGCGGGGCTTTCGGTATTTTTAGTTATATAATTATATATATTATATTATACTAATTATATAACTTATATTATAAGAACATAAAATATTTATATGAATAATAGTAATATATCATTATTAATATTTTTTTATACATTATAATTTATAAGATTTAATTTTTTAAAATATGATAATTTTTTTATTTAAAAAAGTTTAATTTATTATTATTTATAATATTTAATTATATGAATATGTATTATTTTTGTGTGTGTATATTTATTTATCTATTTCTTTATTTCTTTATTTTCGAGTAAATTCGTGTCAAACACGAGCGAACTAATTTGTTTGTTATTCGCCTCGTTTATATTTCGAGCTTAAAAATTAAAGAACGAGCAAAACATGAGCTGTTCGTGAACAACGAGACAATTTGACAGCCCTACTCCTGACTCTAGCATATTCGGCCTACTGACGTCTTCGCAGCTCACCACTACATCTCATGTGACCAACTACAACCTACGTGGTTCACAGCCCTTGCAGCATCCTATGACAACATTAGTGGTCAATAAGGCAACTATGCTGGATTTCAACTACTTTCTATACGATAATTTGGTGCTACAACCACCGCCTACAACATTTTACCACAAATTATTGTCTTCATAGCAATCGACTACTACTCTTGCAGTCTATTTTCATCAAGAATTATTTCATTACAGATAGACTACGACTACTATCGACAAATCACAGTTTTACATTTACACTGACTATCTTTGTAACTCCATCATCTCTAATTTAAGAGAATGGTAGACTCGTGTACTCAAATTTATATAGAGGATCATTTCAACTAGGCAAGTCCTCGTGATTTTTTCCCTTTTCCAGGGATTTCTACATGGAAACTTCTAGCGTCGCTACTGGATTCTTACTTCTATCCGAGATTTACTACGCCAAGAAGATAATTGTTTACCTTGTCGTCACGAATTTTCTAGCACACGTCAGTAATTACAAAAATACTTAACTTTCTTATATTTGGGCTTAAGTGTAATGTATGTAAATAGATTAGGTTACAAAATCTCTAAGTTTCTTATATACATTTAAATTTAGATATTAAATATGTAAATACACAAGAATTAGAGAAAACATCAACTTCATACGTAGGTGTAAGTGTCGAGCATGTCAATATGAAAGCAGTGGATAATCTATAACCTTATATTTTAAGCATCATGTTTATAAAATATAAGCCATTACACAAATCAACAAGCTTACATTCAAAATTAAGTGTTACATATTACATATCGACGTCTTGGCGCCACTCAAGATAACTTGGGAGTGCTGGCTAAGAAAAAATATTGCTTCTGGACGTCTGCGCGTCTGGACGACCAACCATTGACCGTCACGTCGGCCACGGTGGGCCACGGATGAGGTGTATGACACCGTGGCGGCCAGTAGTTAGACGTCCAGACGTAATATTTTCTCGCTGGCTAGGGTTGCTTCATCGTAAACGGATATAAACTTATTTCGCTCCAGCATCTTCTAAGGCCTCCTTTAAGTACACATATACTGCAATTGCACAAACATCTGGAAAAAAAAAAATAAGAATAAATAAAAGAGAAAATTACAAAGAAACTTAGAAAGTTCTTTTCACATAATTCAAGCTTATCAATTATTAGACATTCTCAAGTTTATATTTTGAATTTACGTGGTATGTATGTAAATTATTGTAAGAATTAGAAAAATCCGTGAAAATACATTTAGGATATTATATATGCAAATACATAGTAATTTGAAAATTTTGTATATATATTTCTCAAATGCAGAAGTTCTATATGTACATATATTAAGATTTAAATGATTCATATGTTCATCTATAAAGTTTATGTGTTGCATATGTAAATAATTATATATATATATATATATATATAAAGAGAGATAGAGAGAGAGAGAGAGAGAGATCAAATTGAATTATATATATATATATATATCTATATGTATGTATGTATATGTAAACATAAAAGATACACATACACACAGATTACGGGAAAATTGTGAATTAGCAACAAAATTATTTCAACCTCAAAATTAGTGTCTGTTTATCGTCGCTCGCCTCAAAATTAGTGTATGTTTATCGTTGCTCGTGGTTCCGCTCCTAAAAGAATAGACACATATGAGTTGCTTCGACGGGAGGATGCTAAATCAACGTTTTAGCCTCATAATCGGGTCTGTTATAATTGACGCTAAAATTACTAATTATTAGCGTCGACATTAGCAAACGCCAAGTCTGATGCAAAAGCCCTAAAATAAGGCTCCCACGAACCGCAACTCCACTTCACGCTCGAACTCTTCTTCTTCTCCTCCGGCTTTCCCTCGTCGCTTCAGAGCTTTTATGGCGATTTTGGGTCCGATTCACCGCTCCAACGCCGTCCAAGATGAGAAATCTTCTTCCACACGTCCAAGTTTTTGTTTAGCATAAGTTTTCATATTTTTTGCTTAAATACATAGGTTTTGCCAGAGTTTTTTTCGTATTCCTTTGTTAGATATGCAATGTGTATGGATTTCATGATTTTACATAAGTTTAGGT